AAACTACGTTTTTTATTTAATTTTTGCTTTTATATCGATTACATTAAAATATTAAACAGAATAAAAGAATGCGTATTTTGCTTTAAATTGCCGACAAAATTGGAAAGAAAAATAATAATAACAATAATCATTTTTTTGGCCTTTCTCCCTCGGGACATTACACGGTTTGAAAAGGTTTTTCTAAAGTAAATGACATAAAAAAAACTGTAAGAACTTTCTGAAAATTAAGTTTGCCATTTTAAAATGTATTAAAAATATTGCAGAATTCTTTTAATTTTTGCTTAAAAATAAAAAAAATATATAGGCGTTTATAAATGTAAATTATTAAATACCTTCTAAAAAAATCAATTTAAAAATAATATTTTAGAGTAATGAATACTTTAAAAATCTATAATAAATTTCTAAGGGACGTACGAAATAAAATAATAATTGTTTGAAAAGTACTTTCGGTTTATCAATATTGATCTTGTTCGTTCCTCAATATGACGAGTTTAGAATGTTTCGGAACAATTATATAAGTAAATTAACTAAAAAGTAAATAAAGAATGTGAAATTTATAATTTCGAGTCTAATTAAATCCTCGATGTCTCGAATTACAGCTGGATTGGTGTGCAAATAATAAGTACCGGATTTTGGCCCGTCGCCGCTCTAAATTATAACATAAAAAGGCGCTTTCCCTTCCACCAAATAAGTTTTAAAGCTCGAAGGCCCTTGTGGCTCGAAGCCCTGTACTGTCGTTCCTTTAATGTCTAAATTCTATGTTAAATATGAATATCGAACGAATTTCTGTTAGACTTTAATACGGCCGGATAAGCGAGCCACTGGCATTGATTCGCTTATCCGGCTGTATTAAAGAGCATCTAATGTTACTTCTCATTATTATACATAATTTTATTAAAGTGGATGTTTATAACCGTTTAATTCAAGAAAATAATTTTTTAACTCAACAAAAACAGGCTCAGCCTAAAAAAGGTCGCATTAACCTGGAAAAAGTAATGGAACCGTGGCTATCTCAAGCGGGCTATCCAATTATAACAGCGATTCGAAATTACGAAAAGAACACGCTGAAGATAAGTCAAACCTCGTGCTTCAGTTACGAAAACAAATCCTCCGAACAGTACGTGTACATTTTCTGAAATTTTATTTATTTTAGCAATAGTTTAGACAGTAAAAAATAATTTAATGTTCTCTCTAGCGCCGCGCTCTTAAATGACGTGGTTTGCAAAGCGCTCGAACTTTAAGATAATACTTCTTACAACGGGAAGTGGAGTCGATCTTACGTGAAAAAATTCAGTTTGCCAAGAAATTTATGAGTTTATTTAGTAAAGTTTATTTTATCTTTAGACTGTGGAATGTTCCAATTACTGTAATGCACGGAAGTCGACCCGTAATCAATTTGAAAGTAACGAAGTGGCTGACTGAAAGAGAAGGTAAGAAGACATCTTCAATTACATAAGAGAATATTAATGGTCTCGAGCAGCGATCATTTGTCATTTTCTAGATTTATAAATTTTCGGTATCGGATTTTTAAATAACTTTATAATACACACATATATATATATTGGTTTATTTATTTATTAGATGTTATTGAGGATCTTCCGAATGACAGAAACTGGACATTGCTCAATGTAGAACAATTAGGATATTTTCGAGTCAATTACGACGAAACTAATTGGAAATTACTGTTGTGGCAATTGCGGCATTATTTTTTGGTAATTTTTTTAAATATTAACTATTACTCGTATTAAATGATTTTTACCTACATTTGTATTTACAATACTCGCGTGTAGAGGCTCCCGTTAGACATCGTACCTACGTATATACAATCGCGACTCGCTAGAACAAATTTTCGGTTAATTAATAACAAATATTTTTATTTTGTTATCAGTAAAAAGTTTTCTTTGATAAAAATGAGTAATTAATTTAAAAATAAAATGAAACTTTAGAGCTCACTCGAGAATTAAGAAAAGGGCGCGTGCCCCGAATGCCCCAATGTACGGGCGCTTCTGCTCGCTTGTCAATAGTAAATTAATTAGATTATTTTAACTTTGAGTGTAATTAATTATTTATAATTATACAATTGATGCTCATTGAAGTATTATTATTATTAAACGCTTTTATTTAAACTTTCTTTGTACAATGTCCTCAAATCTTGCAATTGAAATTTCATCCGCTTCTAATTAAGACAGAAAGCTGAAACTTTATGCCCGTCCGATGACAATGTATTTTAATGATGTGCTCGGGGATGGCCCCACCCCAAAACCAGATAAAAATAACCAATACTAAGCTTTAATCATGAAGTATGTGAGTAAATGAACTGAAATGATGCGAATCCCCAGTCCAATCTACGAAAACATGACCAATAAAAGCCTTAATTTTTTAAAACTTTATTAAAATTATTTCTTGGGTCGGAATGATAAGGATCTCTGTCGCGGCATTCTTCCAAGCCATAGATTTAACATTCAAATATTTAGACATACGAAAATTCGTATAGCTCCACTATAAAATAACTATTTAATAAGAAAATATTATATCAGATATACAGTTATACGAGTACAATTCAAAAAGCTATGTCCGTAACAAGTCGGTTTGTTGCATTTAATGATGTATTATAAGTAATAATAGTCATTCGTCAATAGTTCCTTTAGTCTACTTTCTTTGATCAAATGTTGCTATTACGACTTTTATAAAGTCTTTGCAATTGATTTTTATAGAAATCGATGGAGAAAAAATGATAGATTCGACAATTATCGTCGAGATAAATAGTAAAATATTAACTCTGGGTGTAAACAGAATGCAGAGATAAACGTGCGTAGACTATGGTTATCTTTACATTATATTCCATTTATTTTCACAAAGGGCTAATGGAAAGATAACGTAAAAATAAACAAATCATTATTGATACATATTTACAAAAATATTCGATATTTTGTAAAATTTGAATTAAGTTGAAAAATCATTAGTAAAGATGTACCGTACAGTGTAATCGATAAAAATCAACAAAACCAATAGAAACATGTGTTTACCTTTGCAGTTATTTCTTAGAATTATAATCGAAAATAACCGAATGTACCGGCCAAAAGTCAGTTAACCGAGACATTAAAAATTAATTAATTCGGTTAACTAGTTTTTGGAACATTCTATATTTAGCAATCAAAACAATAACATATCTTCGATAGCATTCTGGGTCAAATACTTTGTTACCTTTGCAGCAATTAAATCTTTACTGAATTTTGGACTATCCTATATTCGCAGCGAGCGTGAGGTGTCGCATTATTTTAAATTAAAAAAAAGAACTAAAATAATATTCAATCGGATGAAAATCTAATGATTTATATACGCATTTTCTGTAGAAAAATCATGATTTATGAGTTTTTGTACGTGGCTTTCAAGGTACATTTTCAATTTACTGATGGATCAGTAACTAGATCTTATTCGTTTCTTGTGGAGCTCTCGAAATATTTTATCTGAAACCCGATTATCTATAACAAACAGAAGATACTACTCCAAACTCGTTATTAAAAATTCGAGTCAATGTCAGAACACTGAATCTTTAGAAAGATGCTTATGAAAGTATTGTACTAACTTGATTTGTATGGAGTGTCGTTAATTCTTTTATCAATAATCTCATCGTTAATCTTTCTAGTCTAGAAGATAAAACATTCGTTGATCTTCGTATAACGGGCGTGATAAGTGTATTAAATTGCTTCGTATAAATATTTCCATAGAAAATATATTAGAAAAACAGTGTATACTTTATTATTACATTTGTGAATAGTTCTAATTGCTTGTTTTCTAGGAAGACTACGTGATACGATTTCGATACTAACTATAGTAGTTGTCTCAGATGTCATGTAAATAACTACAGGTGCATTTAGTTTCTAATAGTTTATTCTTCAGCCTTACAATAGGCAATTATTAAGACAATATATCTAGATATTCATAATACTCCATTAATGATTAACATTTTTTAACATAAAACCAATCGTAGACAGTAACTTAGCCATTACATTTGTAAATAAATAAAGAAAAAACTCAAGGACTGTATAGGAAAAAGATTTGAATGTATGTACAATATCTCTTAGATATTGTACAGTACATACAAGTGTATTAGACCATTAAAATATAGTTGTGTTAAGTCACTCCTCAGTCACCCGATGACGATCAGTTAAGTATCACGAACAATCATTGTTAAAAATAGTGGCTTTGAATACCAAAAGTTTACCACATTCACTGTTTTGAATTTAACGTCACGTAGGCCATGCGTGTATAACAGTATAATCTATTATTTATATTATAAAAATATATAAATCATATCTTCTCATGCAAATAACGTAAAAAAGCACAACTCTGCGAGTTTTTCTAAAGAAGTACATAAAGCAAATTTTAAGAAAATTAATGTAGTGTCTGTTTGAACAAACTTCTTCCTTCTGCTCTTATAGTTACAGTTATTTGATATTTTATTATTTAAGAATATCAGGACGAACTTTCTATTAAACGTTTTTAAAACTTAAATACGATTCTACGCAATACAAAGTATTATATAAG